CTCACTCGCACTCGCTCACACTCACTCACACTCACTCACACTCTCACTCTCACGCTCACGCTCACTCTCGCTCACACTCACACTCACACTCACAGTCACACTCGCCACCTCCGCCACCTCCGCCACCATCACCACGATCTCCACCCTCATCACCACCATCACCTCTCTGGACCCCAATGCGTCTAGATCTCTAGACTTTCTATTCTGGTCGCATCGATCGCCTCGTTTAGCCACGATCAGCCACCCCGCCTTCACCGCCTTCAAAGGCCTTTGAGATCGGCAACGTCTCGGCCATGATGTGCTCAGCCTCAGAAGGGAGATCGTTCAAGTCGGGTGAAGATCTGACAGTTGAAGTGGGGAGTTCGGACAGATGCGCAGAAGGATGACTCTGTCTATTTGTTTTTTCGATCCTTCTTGTGATGGGGTTGTGAATATCAAAGGTACACCCAACACTGGAGGTGTTCTGCATCCCTTGGGAAGACGTCGAGGCAATTTCATGGGCCATAAGATGGTGATGCCCACTTAGTAGGTTTGCCTTTCTTCCTATTTGGGTGCAGATAGATTGTCCAAGATTTGGCCGTCATGTTTTGAAATGGCGCTCTGACCCACAGGGAAAGAGTGCCTTACCCGATTCCACTAATTGTAAACATTACATAATTGTGTATTCTTACAACCCCCGACCTCAGGCCACAAGTTGTGACTGATCTTCAGACGGCGCCCACATAGTTTTTTTTTAAATTTTTGTTTTGCATGATTGGTTTTTAACTGGACACTTGGCGGTTGGAAACTCTGCCAGGGGAGATGGTTTTCCAGGGAGATTCATCGCTTTCCTATGTCATGTTTGGAGGGACTATCTGACTATCTGTTGTCAGAGACTAGTGGCCACCTAGCAAACCCGCTTACTGTAAAGCTCGGCAACGGATCTATTTTTTGTATCAGATGATGCAGTTGTGTTTCACCAGGGCAAGTATACAAAAAAGATCTCATGATGTGTGCCCACGGGTGTTGTACACGCGGAACATGCACCCTCACGGCCTCCGGCTGGACCACTACGATGGTGACTATGTCTGCTGGGCGATCATTTTCTCGAGACAAGAAAGCAGAATGATTCTACCCAAGCAGTTTATGACCGGGATGTTGGAATATGATGTTATTATTCCAGATATGTAGAGCTGGTGGTCTCCTAGCCATATCAGCAGGAACAGTACATTGACATACTCGTGCGTTTACGGATTGATCTTCGGAATGATCACCTCACAATGATTCGTGACAACTGTGGCCGTTTTCTAACGACGGCCCCCGTGAATGACGACGGTGCACTGCCCCGTGACCATGAATTGGCTCAAGGATTTGTGCCCGAGGCGCTGCCACATCACACGGTGTGCTTCTGACACCTTTCCGCGTATTTTCGCGTCCTTCTCTCAGCCATGCGTGAGGCCATTTGCATTCACATTGGCCAGGCGTGGATGCGCCAACGTGTAACGGTAGCCTTCGGGACCGAGCGAGACTGCCACAACACAACACAGAAGGCTGCGCAAAGTGTCACTCAGTAGAAGCCCACTCCACATAGCGTACATACTCATACTTCACAAGGATGACAGTTTTGTTCTTTGTACCGGGTCTTATGATTGTAACGTCTATGTGGATCAGCTGCGGTCGACTGAAGAAGTCCATTTCGGGTGGCCAGTGGGAGGGTCAACGATCACCATCTTTTAAATGAGTAAACTAAGCAGCATTGGAGGGAGGTAATTCGACCGTGTGAGGTGACATAAGCGCCTTGCAGGATTCGACGTTATCAATTTGGAACCAAAAAGAATAAACGCTTTTGTCCTAGTGGTGTATTTTTACATATTATTACAGCATAGCACAACTGGCCCGTTGCCTGTTTTTTTCTTGCATGGAACGTCTACCTGCACTTTTTAGGACCATTTTAGGACTTTCTTGGGCTTGCGGTGTGTTGCACAAGTTTGGAAACGTTTGCATCTCAAGAACTGTACGACCAGCAGTTTTCGCTAATGGAAAACAACGAGGTGTCACCGATTAGTTTTGCTCACTGAAACTCAGTCGCAGCCCTTCTGACAGGGTTTTCCGACAAGCCAGCCCATGGAATTCCCATGAGCAGTCTGGAGGGCGCATGTGCTTATATATGCATGTGCTTTTGAACCTTTGGGAAACTGAGTACTGTACCTTTTTCTTGTTGTTTGTCGACACTTGATTCAGCGTCCACGTGTTAGATATCTTTTTTCCCAACCCGCCAGGAGGGCCTTTAGACTTTAACAACGGTGCCACTCCTCATCCTCTTCCTCATCCTGATCCTCCTCCTCCTCCTCCTCCTCCTCCTTCTGCGCCTCATGTCACAGCCAGAAAGAAAGTCAGAACACGTGCCAGATAGACATATCAAGAAATACGCTAGAAGTTACCAGATTGAATGTCAGAAGATATGCCAGATAGATGCCAGAAGATATGCTGGCCAAAGCCGTACCTCCACCTCCACGAAGGGCTGCTCATAGGACTGACTTACTGTGACCTTGGTCCTTTAGTACCATCCGGCCCGCATGGCCAGCGGTAAACCTGCACTTGGTTTGACTTCTCCATGTCTGATTTTGGGTCTAGGTTTGGGGAAACCTTGGTTCTTTTGCTCCTTGTCCGTCTTTGGTTTGTTTACCCTAACCCTTGTACGCAGGACTAACGGAGGACGCGGGGTTGGTTGACCGGATTAGGAGCAGGGCTGGGTCCTCCTCGGAGGCTCGGCAACCTATGCCCGGCTGCCTTCCAGACACCTCCTCTCGGCCTCACTAGCCGTTTGGAGGTTACACCCTAGTGCAGGACCGCGTAAACTCGTCCGACACCACCCGCTTCTACGGTACCGCGCAGCCACCTGTGAAGGCCGTACACGGCCTGAGCAAACCGCGTCCGTGGAAGCATCGATGTGTGGGGGTTAACTGGGGTATGTGGAATGTTCGTACGTTTCACTCGGTTGTTCGGGTTGGGGAAGATGGTGTTCTTCACCGGAGAAACCCTCGGTGTTCTGTGAAGTTCTCCGTAAGGCTGACGTATCTCTGCGTTGCATTTCCGAATATCGCTGGCGAGGAGAAGGTAAGGTAGCTCTTCTGAGTAGTGTTATCTTGTTTTCAGGTGTTCCCCTGCATGCTCGGGTTGCTGAGCAAGGCGTTGGAATCGTCCTAGATTCTTCTATGGAAAAG